AGACCATGCATAAGAAGCTGAGTTGGTAAAGAAAATTCAACATTGTTAACTTTTAATGAGTTCTTACTTTAGTGAGAGTTGTAGAATTCAGAAACATACTGTATAGTATAAAACCCCATTTGTAGTATTCTGTAAAACATAGAACAACTTCTAACCCTTTTTTGTGCAAAAAGGAAGCCACAAAGGAAGTTGGTGGTTACATGCATCTCCCTACCAGATTAAGGCCTTATGTTGGAGTCAGTGATATATTATCTTAAAAAATCCCTTATCTGGAGCAACAGACCACTTGAAAATAGACATGACAGTAAGCCTAGTTTCTACAATTTTTTTAAAGCTATAATCACCAATTTTTAGTTTCATAAAACCTGTAGGGCTTTTCTAAAATCCAACATTCACTGTCCAGTTTAGCTGGATCCAGACACAATCTGCAGATGTATTGTAATAGTTTTCCTTATGTGACACACATCTGTCAGTAGCGATTTATACCACAGCTTTGTCCTAAATTCAAATAATGAATTCTCCTTTCAGGTATGATGAACCAAGAACAAGACCGAACAACAAAACATGAAGAATCTGCTCAGTGTGCTTACTAGCAGAAACCATTTCACAATCAAGCCCCAGGTGAGTCTGGTCTGTCGTGGTGATGGAGGATTTCTCCTGGCATGTGCTGATGAAAACAGTCCCACTGTTCATTAAGACACCCCGGTGATCTCACTCAGTCCAGTTCCTTCCTGTGTCTGATCATCACAGCACAACCTCCCTGCTCGCCAACAGCTGACGGGGTGTTTAAGGAGACGAATGGGCGCTGACCTTATCAGGTAATAGATATCCCATAGTGGAAGAATGGGTAATTGTTCTGGGGTTTCATTTTGCCCTCTTTCTTGTAGAGCTTTTTTATGGCAACAGAGGGGGAAAAAATCTTCCCTGGTCATCACTTCATACACGCCCACCACACCACTGACAAACAAGGAGGGAATTTCACCGGGCTTCTCTTTCATTTGAAGGAGACAGATTTGTGTCCTATAGATTGTATGTGTGGCATCACTAAAGAGGCCTGTGGATGCCGGTATGTTGTACTTTTTGGAGGAAAAAAAAGCTTTAGTCCATGTTCAGACAGACAATGATACTTCATGAAAAACAAGACTTTCCTCCCAAGAAGAATGAGAGCATCAGCCATTTCAACAAGTGCCCCAAAACAACATATGTTAATGTTCAAGTGACAGCGCCTTTTAGTAATAAAGTAATTATGATAAGAGCAATGGGGGATGTCAGTCTAATCTACTTCCTAACTTTGAATGGTTTTAGGGTTGGTGTGCATGCCAGTTGCTGATCACCTGTTGTAAGAATTAAATAAAACAAATGCTAAAGACGGACTAAAAAGGTGCATTCAATTTGCTTTCCGTATATGTATTTATCTTTTTGTATGTATAGTGACTGGTGAATACAAGAGTCCCCTTCATAAGCTGAGCCTCCACCTGATCTGGACTTCCCCTCCAAAATCCTGCCAGAATCTGTATAAAGTGTGTCAGTGTTGGAAACCTGATAGTTTTGTTTTCAGTGGCTTGATCGCATTCAAATACGTGTATGATCCTTTGCCTAAGAAAAGCTACCAAAACATTGCGCTATTTGATGGTAACAGTGCACATTTAAAAAAAAAAAAAGTATTTTATAGCAGAAGACAAATCTAACAAGAGAGCGCCAAATCACATTGTGTGGTGTTAGTGAGGTTATGCAAGACTAATGGGATGTCAACTTATATCAGATCAGCCTGGCTCATGACCCTGGGTCAAACCGAAAAGCTTTACAGGAAACATTGTCACTGTGCTTTCACAGCAGCTTTTAAGATTTACTTCCCTGCTGTCTATAAAGAACATGCTGGGTTTAGCAATCTAAATTGAAAACCGCTGGAGGGGAAAATGATAGTGTGTCACAGGCAAGGAGGTGCCAGCGGTGGAGGAGACCGGAAAGAGACAGCGACAGGCCGATGTGTTGGCACCTATCAGGGAGAAATGATTACCTTGGTTAGGAGAAAACAGAGGGGAGGAGAGATTAACACACACAGCTTAAAACTTGACTATTCATGCTGATCCACTTTTTGAGATAAAGTATAGGCACAGTTTCAAAGTCTAAAATTAAGTCCAGCAACCTTCATACATACAATGGATGTATCACAACAATATGGAGCGCTTTGACCTAAAAGCAGTCAAATTATGCAGGCTAAAAGGTTGTTTCATGGTCATTGGTGATGTTCCCAAAGTGAATAAATACACGGGTAAAGGGACAGATTTAGCTTGAACTCTGATGCAGCTATAATTATCAAAAACCAAAAAGGGAGGGCTAAACTAATACATTTATACAGTAATAATGCACAAAAACTAATGAGCAGCAGCTGTTCAGGCAGGAGGATCACAAAGGCAGTCAGGTGATTTACAGAGTCAAGAAAAACACTGAGGACACCTAGTGGACAGGTGTGGTAAACCAGGCCTGCATATTGATGTCCCAATTCAAAACAACAAGTGTATAGAGTGTGTACCATATTTTTTTATAGTAACTGTGTGGTCAGAATACCACTGCCAACTTAAACTTTACAAACAACAAAAAATATTCTTCAAAGATTAAATAGATATTTTTAGTTCAGCTTCTCTATTTTCTGTGTATACTTTATTTGTCGCCTTTCTAGTATAAACACATTAATATTCAAAACCTGCTTAGAAGTATTGAATTGGGGCACAGCAGGTTACATTCCAATTCCCTAAATTTCGCCTCACTTCCTTTCCTGGCATCGGCTCCATCAAATTTTAGTCTCTCCAACTTAAGACACAAGGAAGAGATTGAAGAAAGTAGGAACCGAGCAAACCCGTATTTAGTAAAAATCTCTGTCTGACGCAACATCAGTTACTGATAGCGGTTACACTACTGCATGGTCCATCACTGCAGGGCTCTAAATGCTCCGTAGGCACAGACACCACAACACCCCCCTCCTCCTCCTCCCCCACCTCAACACAATCGCCGCCTCACATCACCACAGACCAGGTCAGAGGACAGCTGAGGAAACAAAGTGTGTCCGAGACTACTGAAGACCTGCGCTGCAGAACTGGGGGAACCACTACAACGGATCTTCAACCTTAGCCTGCAGCTAGGGAGAGTGCCCACCCTCTGGAAGACATCCTGCATCGTTCCGGTTCCCAAGAAGAACAGGCCCAGCGAGCTGAATGACTTCCGACCGGTGGCACTCACTTCACCACCGGATGAAGAACATTGAGCGGCCTCTTCCTTCCCAGCCTCCTCAGACCTCAGGTACAACAAACGCCCAAGGGATCGCCCTGCAGTTTGCGTACCAGCCAGAAAGGTTGTGTGAAGGAGCCATACTCTTACATGCTACACCGAGTTCCACCTCCCATCGGATAAGGGGAAGCGGCCATCAAGTCGTGTTACCAGTGTCCTCTTTTACACTGTTGGGTGGGGTGCTGGGGCGCTATCCAAGAAGGGGACACCCTCCGGACCTGGAATAAAACTGATCAAGCGGGCCCGGCCCTTCTTGTGTCGCATGAAGCTGGACTCACTGGTGACGTTGGCAGAGAGGAGGACAACTGGACAAACGCTTGACATTATTGAACAATGCCAGCACCCCCTGGCCAACACCGTTCATCAGCAACCAGAGGAGCCCCTGTTCAGTGAAAGACTGCTCCCCCAAGGTTAGGAACCCAATGGACTTTAAGACTCCCTTTGTCCCTCGTATACACCTACAACTTCCTCACTCGGGGGAGGAAGGAAATAGGGTAAAAGAGGACAGAGAAAGGATTGGTAACCACTCCACTGTCACTGTGCTAATAACTGTGGCAATAAAAACTACTCATACATATCTGGACACTCTTTTACCCTTATTTCTTTTGTGCAATAACTGGATCCCACACTTAAGTGCAATAATTAATTTAATTTAACTGCAATTTCTACTTAATGTACTACACTGTATAACAAACAAATGCCATATATATGTATTCCCTATACAGTTTCCTACACTTATTATTGTGATTCCATTTAATCTTTTTTTATTTTTATTCTTATCTCTGCTTTCTATATATATCTAAGAGTTTATTGTTTATCTTGTACTGTATTTTTTTTTTTATGCCTCTTTATTTTTCTACACTGTTTTTGTAAGCTGCTGGAAATTCAATTTCCTTGTGGGAGTCATCCCAAAAGGATCAATAAAGAAAAGTCTAAGTCTAAGAATTGTATAACGAATTGTGTAACGTTCTACTCAGAATTCATCTAAATCTCTGGTTTTACACAAACTTCCTGCAGTTCACTGTTTGGGTTCATTGTACAGTTTAATATGAAATATCCATAAAAGATGTCACTGAGTCAGTTTAATGGAATATATAATATATTAATTAAGGAAAAAGGTTGGGAACCAGTGATATAGTACCGAGGATCTTGAAAGGAACCGGCCTCTTTACTGGAACCAGAGTTTCTGCAAGATTCAACAGGTTAAAGACGAATGAAATTCAAGAGCTTTTTTTATGTCCATACTGACAAAAAAGTACAAAGGACATGAAGGAAAATATACTGATTCTGTTGGTTTCATTTTGTAGTTGTTACAGAATCAAAACGACTTTTTCCTAGTAAATTCATTAATCCAATCCATTTTTAAGACCTCTTAAACTCATATTTAAGACTTTTTAAAGATCCAGTGAACCACAGAACACGTTATATATTATGTTCATGACTCTACAGTGAAATGTGACTTTTAACTTCAGGGTGAGTTAATAGTAGCACATTCATGTTGGTGAACCGATGAAAACACAAGCTTGCTGTATCAAACAGAAGCCTTCACTTACAGCCGGAGAAATGTAGGCCAAAGATCATCATTCCTCTCAGCTTACGGCCCCGCTGAAGAAAACGGCTGAAACAAAGGTGGAACTGAGACCGGACAACGACTGTGAATAAAGTGTGCAGAGGAACAAGAAAGACATAAATAAAAACACCATCGGGACCAGCGGTTATCAAAGATCTCCTTCATTGTTTTAATAGTAGACATTGTGCCACAAAAATGTCATGTCCGCAGCCACAAATCACGTGCCGAGATTTACTAATTCCAGCTATTTATCATGTCATTCGCTTTCACTTGCTTCTCTACACAATTTTGCAAATCACTTCTTACATTTATGTATAAATATATACAGTTTATAGATTATTCTTGAGCTGGGATGGTGATTTCTTTTTCTCCTGTTGTCGGTTGTGCTGTTGGTTGAGAAACATTAGCAGAGAAAATACACACGGCTGACGTCACGTCTCCCAATGTAGCACATGCTTATTGTATGTGGACACCAGCAGAGCACACACACAGAGCCGAATATAGATATATACAGGAATGTTAACTGCTATCATACAAAGTGGGTTCTTTAAGAAGTCACGACTGCGGGCATACGACGGGGAAAATATGCCAACAACACGAGAGCACCGAAGGCATAAATGTCACGTAAAATCTCCTGCCACAAAGGCACTGGCACATCGTTTTTTAGGGGGCGACTCTGTGAAGTTGGAGCAGGTGACGACAGGTTTGGGAGCGTTTCCTGGGTGTGGTTTGAGCCGCTCGCTTCGTGACGGCAGCCGATCGCACGCCACAGAGGGAGCGTGTGATCAGGTCTGAACATGCATGATGCTGGTTTAAGCATGTGCTTCATTTGAAGTGCTCACTAATTTGTGTTATGGGAGGAGATTCAGGGCCGAAGTTAGGCTGTTATCCACAGCTGAATAAAGACAACTTTATGTGTGTGTGGGGGGGGGGGACAAACCCAAAGGAAGAGTGGGGGCAAACATAAGAATAAAACAAAAGAAGAGCTGTATATGTGTTCTCTTTCATTGGTTAACTTCACACACTGTTAAAAATTGTTTACATTTTGTTTGTTTTTCCAGTATGAGTGTGTTTTGGTAAAGTAAGAAAGTGCCCAGTGTGTTCTGTGTGGGGATGGATGGGCTTACCGTCCTATTGCTGACTTTGAAAGGGTGTGGTGGGAATCTGGTGTTGTAGCTGCACACACAATTACAAACCGGTCCACTCAAAGTCATCCTGTCTTTCCCTACCTCTTTCTCTCTCTCTCTCTCTCTGGTTTTCTTTCCCTGTGGAGCATGGTAACATTGAGACTGGTCGTGGGCTCGGGGGTGGATTCAGTCGTGGCTGTTTTCGGGTCTCAGCAGCAGCCTCCGGACGAGGTGTTGACGGGCTTGCTCTGGATCTTGACGTTGGACTTCTCCGAGGCGCCGGCCGTGGCCCCGGGGCCCATCCTCTTCTTGATCTCGGCCGCCATGGTCATGAAGGCTTGCTCCACGTTGGTGGCGCTCTTGGCGCTGGTCTCCAGGAAGGGGATCCCCAAGTTGTCGGCAAATTCCTGGAGAAGGAAATGGGAGCACAAGGAGGAGTTGAATAAATTAAATTCCAGAGAGCAAAAGAGAAGCTGTCTGCTGAGGAAGACTGAAGCTCCAGAACTGCTGCAGAATAGACCTTATGCTTTTAAAAAGGCCAAGAATTTACTTTCAGGCTGATGTCTGACACTGGAAGTTTTTTTAAATCTTAAAACAACAGATTCAACCAATTTATTTCTATTTTATTCGTACAAACGCAGATTAAAAACGCTGATTGAGCAGACGCTGACGCCTCCAGAGTGGTGATTCCAGTTCAAACATTATTTATGATTTGAAATCAGGGAAACTCTGATTTAGTCAGTAATGTTAAGATTATGTCACACTAGATAATCTATTGAGACCAGCTCCACGATGGTCAGGAGGGCGAATCTGACCCCAAATCTGCCCAATAATCCTGTAGAGTGGGACTCGGTATATCTTCTGTGTCCACTGGCTTGCATTTTCCAGAGCTTTCAACTGAATCTCAGAGTCTTCTTCAGTGGATGCACACAGAGAGCAAACACAGCTCGCTCCACCCGCTGAGGAAGACTGCTGAGAGTAACTGAAAGCTCCAGAAAAGGATAGAAAGAGGACTTTGAGTTAAAGGTATAGTTTCCAGTCTTAATGCTGAGTCACATTTACTGCACAGACAGCCCTGAACAAATAAAGTTGACTCAGTCTGGTTGAGGCTGTTAATTATTGTTAACTGTCTGGTTTTCATAATGATTGGAAGCCAAAATAGCAACTGAAAATAAAACTTGATTAACCGCCACCGCCCTAATTATTAGTTATAAATAGAGTTATCTAGGTTGCTGCTTCCTATGAGCACAGCCGGCTGACTGAATATCTGCTTAGCACCTGCTGTATGTTGTTGAAATGTTAATTAAAATGCTTCAGTGGGTCATTTTGAGGCGTCACCGTTACCTCATGTTGAGCCCGAGTGCGTCAACCCGTCAGTGCTTTCTAAATACAAATATATAAACACAAACAACTTCAAACTCCCAACACGACGTGTCTCCACAGTTCACCCGGCTGTCTGACCAGCAGCTGCAGTTGATGTTTTCCTCGCCGATATCTCGCAACAAAAACTGAGCTCATCACATTTTCAAGGCTGTGACGGTGCGACGACCGGCCGCTGACGCTCATTTCATTATCCTGTTAGCTACAGAACTCAGGACAGACACAGACAGACACAGACAGAGCTGGAGACCACTCAATCATATATTCTTGTAACAAACTGTTTGCGTCTCACCTTAGCCGTGGTGTAATCCACGACCTTCTTCGTTGTGAGGTCGCACTTGTTGCCTACTAGCAGCTTGTTGACGTTCTCGCTGGCGTAGCGGTCGATCTCCTGTAGCCACTGTTTGACGTTATTGAAGGACTCCTGAGGACGGGGAGCAGAAACAGGACGGACGCTGAAGAGCTGTAACTGTGTTATGTGTCTGTGGTGAAACACATCTGTGCTGCTGTTAATATTCACACTATTACCAAACTCAAGAAAATCTACTGAAGGGTTTAGTTACACTTTCATACGGACGATTTTGGCCTTATTCTGAAAATATACTAAGCTGTTTAATGGCTAATGAAAATGAATATTCCACTAATAATTCCCGTCGCTGAAACCCTGTTCGAGTCTTCATGAATGTATAATAAGTCAGATATTTTACTCTTTAATAACAAAATGTGGACTTTTCTTTTGTCAGACACTGATTATACGTCTGAAGGGGATCAGAAATGTTTGTTTATGCTGTTTTAACTCACAAATATTGGCAAACTGACAATTCTTCTAAAACACAACCTTTTTATCCACCATGAGGGAACAAACCGCATTACTGGTTGGATTCTGTCCATTATGTTGATGAATGGCCAGTTCATGTGGTATTTTACTGTAAATAAGATTTGATATTTCACTTCCTGCCTAATGCTCACTATCCTCTGTTCAACTGTATGCAGCTTTTTATTATTTATTTATGGTGGAATCTTTAGGTTTTTATTCAATTAGCTCTGTTTCCATCCTTTATCTGCTGTTACACTTCATCTTCCACGAATAAAGTGTCGTTTAATCTTACATTAAACCCTCATTAGGGTGACTGTGTGACGACTGGGAGTTGTAGTTCTCTAAAGGACTGACCTGATCTGTCACATCATAAACTACTATAATGCCGTGAGCTCCTCTGTAGTAACTGGACGTGATGGTACGGAACCGCTCCTGACCAGCCGTGTCCCACTGAGAGAGAGAGAG